ACATTTTTTGTAATTTTTAAACAGCGATTTTCACCCCTATTTTTGACCACTGTTATGGGCTAGTTCAGTAATGATGGAGTACAATTCTTACGAAACGTGGCGTGACATATCAATCATCATGGTAGTAAAGATGATATGGTGAATGCCCTGGGAGCGAATTTTGCTTGGGAGAGAAGGTACTGCCTGTAAAATTTCCGAGAGCGAATCATCTGGAAGCAAATGCTCCGAGAATGAGTTTTCTTTGGGATGAAACTCAAGAGGCGAATTTTCTTGAAACCAAATTTTTTTTCATGCCCACGAATAACCCACGGTGTTTTTATAATTTTTTTTAAACTGAAAAATCAATTTTGCGAGAATAAATCTGCTGGGATGGTGAGGGTAGCGTAAAAGGCGCTGAAAGACTTCGATAACGGCATATAAAGGAACTTGGGATAAACTTGAAGAGTAACATAAAGCGATGTTCAAAGTCTTCTGGGCAATTGGGAACGGATCTGAACATCGCAGAGGTGGTGTACAGGGTGAGTAAACGATTGCGCAGAGTATCTTATTAATTTTAAAAATATTTGGAATAATACAAGGTCCGCTCACAAAGTAGGACGCTTTGTTTAAATGGAACCCCCTGTATTTGAATGCATTTTTTAATTCTACGTGTAATTGTATGACTTTTTTTATTATTATGGTTAATATTCGAAAAACTAGTAGATTTAAGGATAATTCGATTTGTAAGAAAAACTTGGCATTTGCAAACGTCAGTTTATTGTCAAAATGATTACTTAAACTTTCTTTTATCCTGGGTAATGTAAAAGTCAAATAAATACATCTACGATCAAACCTTAATAAAATACCTTACAGGGTGTTTTGAGGTTACAAAATACTTACCCTTAGTATTCCCGCAAATGCGAAACGACCGACCGATTCGGATATCAACACAACACTACCTCTGTACGGTAATGTCCACTAATGCGAGTGACGAAACTGATAACATATGCCCCTGACTAACACAAAACTAGTCTATTTATTATCTTTTGTATTGTGAATAGCTTGTCCTATACGCTTTGAAATATTCCACTTGATTTAATAATGTAAAAAGGTTTCTGCGAGGGTTGGCCAATAATTTTTAGCTATCTAGCTCAAACGATTACCGTTTTTTAGACATTAGAATTGCATCAAATATCCGAAAAACTATAATAAATAATAATAAAAAATAGCTTACAGGGTGTTTTTGTTTGTAGGTCCAAAGTTACAAAACTTGATTTAAAAAATCCAGGATTACTTTTTTTAAATAGACCGTATATTTTTCTGTCATCTTTTAGCTCCTTCAAAAACGTTTAACTTTTGATAATAATGTCCTATACCTATCTCCAATAGTTTTCGAAATATCTTGGTTTTCCTGGTTTTTATATTCAAATCTTAAATAAGTTATATGTAATTCACATAATATCGTGGTGACCATGCAAAAAAGGCAATTTTTATCTGCCTTGTCCAAAACAAAAATCATATCGATTAATTCATTTTTTAAACAATTCATTTTTAAGTCCAAAAACTGGAGAATAGGTAAAAACACTTTTATAACTTATTTAAGATTAAAATATAAAAACTAGGAAAACCAAGATATTTGTTTTTTTACTATCAAATTTATTCTCTAGTTTTTTTACAGGGTGTTCCATTTAAAAAAGTGAAAATGAAACTATTTTAAAAATGAAACTAAACTGAAAAGTCCTTTAAGGGTTTTGGCACATGATGAATTGAACTAAAATATTTTCTTCAAGATAGCGCCACTTCCGCAAATACCGGAAGTGGCCATCAACTTTGTTATTTTAAATAGGGACCCTATTTTTTCTACATTTTCGGATTCTACGTCGAATTTGAAGTACAACGATACCCATAGTTGACCCTTTGCTCCAAGGGCTTTGTCGGTATTCAAGTTTTTATGTCAAAAATTGAATTTGCAGGGATTTTAAAAAGTTATTATTCGAAAACGGTGAGAGATATTGCAAAACAGTTTTCACTACTTTATTAAGGAAAGATCGAATTTTTTATGGTATGCGTAACCGTCTAAAAAAGTGAGACTTCGTCACTTTTTCAAAGCTCTCAACTTTTAAATTTTTAAATATCCGTAACACCATTTTTTCAAATGACACCCCCAATTTTTTTCTTCACTGTTGTTTTCCTTTTTCCGAGACTTTGAAGCAGCCTTTGACATGTATCAAATTAAAAGTCTCGGAAAAAGGAAGACAACAGAGAAGAAAAAAATGGGAGACTTGCCACCAGTCTTTCCAACTCTCATGGTTGCTGAGAAAAAATTATAGAAGAAATCCAAATTTCACCGGCTCCCAAACGAAACACGTTGGACCTTCGGTTTATTTGGAAAAAATTCTTGCTTGGATCTCCTTTACCACCCAATTTTTCTTACATACTTTTACGTACATATATGTAACACCCTGTATAATGCAAAAAGTATCAAACCCTTAGACCTCCGAAATATTGCATTTTCTCTTTGTAGGTATCTCCCTTCAACATTTTCGAGATATTCACAATTGAGTTTTTAGTAGCTCTTTCCGCCCAGAACAAGAGAGGGATAATAAATAAATAACGCTAAAACCCGGCACAAAATAGTACTCAATTTTTGGGGCACTTCTCATAGTTCGAGTTTCTGTTGACGATACGAGAAAGAGAGACCGAGATTTGCGCTTTATGAAAGTTTAAACTGTATGGCAAAATTCTCAGCGGAAAGTAAGTTTTGGGTACCCGAAGTCGGCTACCCCTCGAAAACGCGCGCCTTGCAAAAGGTGGTTAATTGCGCCCATAGGAAAAAAATTCCAGCACGCAGGAGTTTTACAAGATCTTTTCGACGACGACTAGTTGGAATACAATCGGACCAAAACTGTAAAAGAAGAGGAAAAAATGAAAAATCACCACGTTCGTAAACAACGCTAGGGGTTGGCGCCCAGATGTCGCCCCACATCATGTAGCCCCATCCATAAAGTTGGTAGGTACACGTACGCTCCTTCTACAAGCGATCTTTTACGGATGGTCAGCCAGACAGCCAGCCGGCCAAAGAATAATTTTGCAAAAAAGCGCTAAAAGTCAAGAGGAAATGTGAGATATTAAAAAAAGATTAAGAGAAACTTAAGGGGGCCATGAATTTGAGAATCTAAGAAACATTTGAAAGAAACATGACGGCGAACTTCATGAGAAGTTGAAGAACCTTGAGAGGCGTTCAAGCGGAATTTAACAAAAGGTCGAGAATTGCTCAAAGAGAACAAAAGCCCGTTCAAAAGTTTACATTTTTTCAAGTTTTTAACTTAGCAATGAATTTCAAACTCGTGGGCATCCAAAAACGTTACTTTCAGTTATGGTTGCGAAATTTTGAGAATCTTGGGGACGTTACAGATTAGTACTTTGTGTGTCGTATTCGTAGATGCAGAGACACGTGTTTGACAGAGTGCCATTCACTGCCATGGCCAATCATACGAAAATACTCCTCAAGTGGGTTGTGATAATGAAACATTGTTATTAGTTATTAATACATTCAGATAAGCACAGTGAATAAGATAAAGATAAAGCTTTTTTTTTCGTCCAAAAATGTGCTTCTTGGGGCCCAGGAACTTTCACCGTCCACCCATTATAGAACACGTGCACGAAAATTAAAAAATATTTCTACTTCTTGTGCATTAAAAAAAAACTTATGAAAGTGGCAGATTGCCATTTTGTATAATAACGAGCACATAATATTTATATCTTTTGGCAATTAGAATTTACACGTGACACATTTTTATCGAAGTGTTTTTAATAGTAAAAATGTACAGGTTCCACCGAGATTTGAACTCGGATCGCTGGATTCAAAGTCCAGAGTGCTAACCATTACACCATGGAACCGATACTAATCTCCTTAAAAGATTAGTAAAAGCCGATTTAATCTCATATCAATAACTTTCAAGGTTACGATAATAATAAATAAGTTTATCAAATGTATTACTACGTGTTCTAAAATAACCTCGAATAAAATGCAGAATGCTGGTTTAATTTCTGTATGTAAAGATAGAAAATGAAAATTAAAGAAGTGAAAGCATCCTGCCTTGTTATAAAGAGGAATCCATATATGGAGAAATATTCATTTTTGTGAGACTGGTATATAAAGGTGTTAAACTGATCTGAATAGATCTTTCTCTTTCCAAATTTGAAGTCCTCAAATTCTGACGACGTTTCAGAAATATGAAATATCAAAACCTACGCAGCAATGTGGTAAAAAAGACCTACATAAAAATCATGCAATAAGAATATAAGCGTGAAAGACTTTTGGCAAGCAGAATCGACACGTCGCGCCTTTTCCTTGAAGTATTCCAGTAACAAAATTTACAGGTTCCACCGAGATTTGAACTCGGATCGCTGGATTCAGAGTCCAGAGTGCTAACCATTACACCATGGAACCGGTACTGATCTCGATAGAAGATTAGAAGAGGCA